CTATTACTTTATTAAATACTGATATTAAAATCTACTCTAAAATTATAGCATGCAGACTGGCCAATACTCCCTGATTTGATCAAGCCTGATCAGTTAGGCTTTACTAAATGTGACAAATATCTGACACAACCCGGAGACTAATCAACATAATTCATTACACAGACTCACAAAAAACTCCTTCCTTATTACTTGCTCTGGACGCCAAAAAGGCTTTTGATAGGATACACTGGACATACATGTTCCAAGTACTGCATAAATTTGGATTTTCAGGAACAATTATTAATGCTGTTTCAGCACATTACTCAAATCCTTCCGCCCAAGTCTATGTATCTAACATGCTATTCAAACCATTCCTAATTACGAATGGTACCAGAGTAGGATGCCTGTTGTCGGCACTAACTTTTAACCTATCAATTGAACCTCTTGCTAAAACTATAAGAAACAATCCAGATGTACATGGCTTCTATATAGGTAAAAAGCACCACAAAATAACACTCTTTGCAGATGCCATTATTTTAATGCTAACAAATCCCTCTACATCTTTAGCAGCAATTCAACAAACTCTCATACAACTTAGTAATATTTAAAATTATAAAATAAATGCATCGAAATCTAATATTCTAAATGTGGGTGTAGATCACTTTCTAAAAATGCACCTCCAAAACAAATTTCCCTACATCTTGGAAATTATTCTAAATTCATTCCAAAAATTCAAACCCACCTTACTCAAATGGCTAAACATGAACTATCCTGGTCTGACAGACTAGCCGCATTTAAAATGTTCATATTGCCACAGATTTTATATCTATTTAGATCAATTCCAATCCCAATTAAATCTTCATATCTAACAAAACTACAATCTATGCTTAAAAAATAAGTCTGGGGAAATATGAGACCTGGATGTTCACATAATATATTAAACAAACACACAAAAATAAGAGAAATTGGATTTGTTGGTATTAGGGACTATCAAAAAGCATCATTATTAAACCAACTCAAACATTGGTTTATAGTGGAAAATGATACAAAATGGGGTGACATTGAAAAAACTCTAGCCTCTACTACAGATTTAAGCGCCATACTACTAGCGAGCTCGTGGCAAAGGATTCCCACTAGTAAAACAGCACCAACTGTACGAGCCTCAATTGAAGCTTGGAAATCCTTATGCTCAATGCCTATAGATCCTCTCCAAATAAGTCCTCTTCCTATACCTCTAACAGCCTTAGAAGTCGTAATGCCTAGCATAGATATCTCGAATTGGAAACATAATAGCATACGCACAATACAAGATATTTGTGTTTAAAACTACATAAAACATTTAAAATTCCTTATGAAAGAATTTAACCTCCTCCCTTCTGAAAAATTAACCTATACACGCATCAGTCATTGCCTATCGAAAAAACATCCAGCAAAAACAACATATATACCTAAAGTATCGTTACAGTTCTATAGCACCACTACTCCTAAATCAGATAATTGTCACAAATAATGGAAGCACACCCTGCAATAGAAAATGCTGCAAACTGTGCTATTGGTATAAACCAAATCAATCCATCAAAAAGTGTCAGACACTCAAAAGGGATCTTCAATATTTCCGGATCATACAGCTGCACCTCCAGTAATGTTGTGTACCTTATCCAGTGCAGAAAATGCAGCAAAGGATCTTATGTTGGCGAAACAGGACAGAAGTTGCAAACAAGGATGAATTTGCACACCATCAAGGAACATAAAGAAGATGACCTCTGCACACCTGTAGGACACCATTTCGCACAACCAGGCCCCACAATGGGAGAGCTCAATATTTTAGTTCTTCAAGGAAATTTCAAATCCATTCAGGAAAGAAAAACTTTTGAACTAAGAATGATAATTCTATTTGACACAAGAGATAATGGCCTGAATTTGGACATGGGATTCCTCACTCATTATCCAACAGTTTTATGACCATTAGCTCAAGCTTAACTCCCTCTGTGTGAGTGTAGTATCCCCCCCCTCGCTTTTGCTGTATCTTATCTCTAACCTCTTTTTTTTTTTCATCCCTTCTAACGTTTCTGCTGAAACTTTGTGATTTGTATAGTACTGCTTGGAATTTGAAGAAGGGGACATACCCTGAAAGCTTGTCCTCAAAATTGTAGTGCAAATAAAAAAAATATCACGGACAGTACTCAATTGTTTCTGCCACATGATATCGGAAATTACTGGGATATTAAAACAACCCGATCCTACCCTAGCCATTCTGAATATAAATATAGACACATATCCAATCCATTATCGACTTGTAGTGACACATATTCTTCTAGCATCAAGACTTACCATTACTAGACACTGGAAAAAAGACTTAGCCCCTTCGCTAAAAGAAGTCATTGAGCTAGTCCAGACCCACTTCATTTATGAGAAATCTTTAGCTTACCTAAAACCTTGGAAACCCTGGTTCAACTGGTTCAGAACTGTAACCTAAGATATTATTATGTTTAACCTTTTTTTGGATACTCTAAAATGATTATTTAGTGGAACTAGTAGGATTGTTAGGAATTATTCAATATTTCCTTTTTTCTCTTTGTTAAATTTTTACCGCAGCACCTATATTGTGATATTGCGTAGCTTTTCAATGTCCTATTTTTGTTTTTGTTTTTTTTTGTTGTTGTAACTATATTTGTAAAACCAAATAAAAATGTATTATAGAAAAAAAATGTTCCTGCCAATAGAAATGTTAAAGGCTACAGAAATTAAACAATAAACCATGAAAAATATGACCTAAATGGAACACTGAAAGATTTCATCAGAAAATAAAGTATATTGCTTTTAAAGAACAATGGTAGTTTTCCTTTTAAAAAAATTACATGCAGTAATGTTTCATTTTACCGTGTGCTCTTGTCTTGTAAAGTTTAATGGTTGCACACAGACAACATCTTTGCCCTTCCAGTGTAAAATTGTGCTGTAAATGAGTTTAGAAGGTCTTAACGATATATATTTTATATATATATATATATATATATATATATATGTATGTATATTATATATAACACTTCTGAAGTGTGTTGTCCCACAATAACTACTAATTGAATTATTTTTATTTGGAAAATAGTTGTAAAGAATGAATTATGCATCATAGTTTACGACACAGTATATTAAATGGTGCCTTTCATCAAGTTAAAACTTAAAATACAATATACTAAAGTGTGCAAGTTAATATGCTGTAGGCAATAACATACAAATAATGTTGCAAAAATTATACTAACAGTTTATTAACTTGAATCTTCATAAATTGTTGGTTATTTGGGCCTCTATATCAGTATTTCCACTACATTAATAAACAGTGTATAGTGCCTCCCCCATAATATCCATCAAAAATAAAGAAATTAAACTTAAGCAGTGCTGTGTGTCATGTGGAATACTTTTGGCATTAACATAATTTATATCAGCAACTACAGTAGTGCTGTGTGTAATGTGGAGTACTTTTCGCAGGAACATAGGCATACATCAGGGTGACAACACTGACTGCTATTTCAATGACACTGTGTCAACCTTGTCACCCTGTTTAGGAAAGTGACATCTAGGCAGAATTTTTGTCAGGATCACTAGGTGTGTTTGTGAATAGAGTGCTCACGTACTGTATACAAACTACTGTATACACACACTTTAATGATGATTTTAAGAAATGCATAACTAGGTTAAATATGAATATTTTATATAAATAGCATACTTCGAGGTATAGTTGTTGGACCATTAACAGATCTTTTTATATTCAATGTTTCTAAATGTAAAATAATGCACCTAGGGAAAAAGAATCCCTTGAGAGAGTACAACATTGAGCTACTTCATGAACTTAAGATGTATAGTCTGAAGGAAAGAAGGGAGACATGATTGAAACATTTAAATACATCACGGGGGTGAATAAGGTTCAGGAGGGCAGTATTTTCAACACAAAACCAAAATAAAGAACACAGAATGAACTTAAACTCACTGGAGGAAAGTTCAAAACTAATCTCAGAAAATACTATTCTACTAAAAGAGTAGCTGATGCTTGGAATAAACAGAGGTAGTGAGCCAGTCAACAGTAAATAACTTCAAACATGCTTGGGACAAGCATAGATCTATACTCAGACAAATAAGGGAATAAGAAAAAAAAAAGAAACACACCCACAAAAAACCCAAAAACTCATACACAAAAAAGGGCAGACTTGATGGACCACTCTGTCTTTTTATGCCGTCACTTTTCTATGTTTCTGTATTTCTATTATACGCTTATTAGGATTTTTGTTTACCAAAAAAAAGTAACAGAATACATATTGGCTTAAATTTATGTTTTTTAAATCTTTTTAATTGGATATGCTTTATAGCAAAAAGTAAAAAATATTGTTTTTTCAAAATTTGTCTGTCCTTTTTTGTTTATAGGTGATCAAATACCACCAAAAAACCCTCTATTTGTGGGGAAAAAAATTACATAAATTTAATTTATGTACAGCGTTGCATGACCACGCAATTGTCAGTTAACCACTTGCCTACCGGGCACTTTTACCCCCTTCCTGCCCAGGTCAATTTTCAGCTTTCAGAGCTTTTGCACTTTAAATGACAATTGCGCAGCCATACAACACTGTACCCATATGAATGTTTTATCATTTTTTTCCACACAAATAGAGCTTTCTTTTGGTGGTATTTAATCACCACTGAGTTTTTCATTTTTTGCACTATAAACATAAAATGAGCAAAAAAGGTGAAAAAAAAGTTTTTCTTTGTTTCTATTATAACATTTTGCAAACAGGTGCATTTTCTCCTTCACTTATGTGCGTTGATGAGGCTGCACTGATAGGCATCACTGATGGGCACTGATAGGCAGTACTGATGGGCACTGATGGGCACTGATGAGATGGTACTGATAGGTAGCACTGATGGAAACTGATACACTAAATTACCAAAAGTATTGGGACACCCCTCCAAATCACTGAATTCGGGAGTTCCAATCACCTCCATGGCTACAGGTGTATAAAATCAAGCACCTAGGCATACAGACTGCTTCTACAAACATTTGGGAAAGAATGGGTCACTCTCAGGAGCTCAGTGAATTCAAGCATGGTATAGATATAGGATGCCACCTGTGCAATAAGTCCATCCATAAAATGTCCTTGCTACTAAATATTCCATCGTCAACTGTTAGTGGTATTATAACACAGTGGAAGCAACTGGGAACAACAGCAACTCAGCCCCAAAGTGGTAGGCCACATAAAATGACAGAGTGGGGTCAGTGCATGCTAAAGTGCACAGTGCTGTGACAGCGTGAGGAAAGTGCTGCCAAGAACTGGCAACTGTATTTACTTTGTGATCAGCTGTGTTCTTGGACACAGCTGATCACGTGGTAAAAGACTGCTGTGATTGCTCTTTTCCTTGTCATGTGATCAGCTGGGTCTGTAGGACACAACGATCACAGACAGCAGTGGGTGTGCGCTGCTGGTGCGGGGGGCGTATTCTGGGAGGACATCATATGACGCCCTCCCAGAATTATGAGGCTATAGTGCAGTTGTAAAGTGGCTAAAGTAACACAGCACTGTATAGCAAAAAATGGCCTGGTCATGAAGGGGTTTAAATCTTCCGGAGGGTAGTGCTGGGCTCGAACATCAGCCGTTTGTGCGTTCACCAAATACACGAATTGTAAGGGAATTCAGCAGGCTGTTCACCTGCCGAGCACCCCACAGTGCACTGTACTCTCACAGTGCATTGTGAAAGCCATGATTGGCCAAAGCAATGCACCTGACCTCAGGTCTGGTGCCCCCCCACAATTGTGAATGAGTAAGGGATAATTGTACCCCTACCCATTCACTAAACGGTTAAACTTAGAGAAGATAAAGTCACCAGACTGTTGAAAAATTCCTTTAGTTGAACAAAAAACAAAACAGTTTTTGACAAGTCCTTTAATGTAAAAAAAAAGGCAAAAAATGATTCCATCATTGTAATCCATCACCAATCACAGCGTTGTCCCATCACTGTCATTTTTTTTGCTGCAGCAGGTTCTATACATTGTACAGATGTGCAACTTAGCAGGTAGTTTAAGGGGACCCCCAAGCATGATACTTAAAGGAAATGTTTTATTTCATTATATTACTTTAAGCAATGAAAAATGACTGGCCGTGTAAAAATGGTACTTTCTACATTTTGTTTCACTGATTCATGTGTGTATGTGAAGATGCAAAGGTGGTTTAGCATTAGGGATATGAGTGGGGTTTTTTTTTGCATTACAGTATACTTTTATTTTAAAATGCAAGGAAAATTAGGGCTGGGTTATGCGGTAAACTTACTGCTATTTGCCTTTATACATACGGTATATTTTTAAATGACAGAGTATCATTGCCAGCATTAAATCATGTAGAATTACAAATATACCAGATTTTCAGCATTGTAAAGGAAGAAGGAAATAATAATTATAGTAATTTTATATGTATAATTATAACATGGCTTAATTATAGCCCATTTCTGGGCAAATTTTGAGCTTAAATGTAAATACGAGCTGAGAATATTTATTTATTGTTTAATTGATTGTAATTACACATTTCTAAGCTGAAATAATTCACAATATTTAGGAAAAATGTCAAACATTAATGGGAACAAAAGTAGGGCTTATGCTTTCAGTATCCTATCAAGTTTCACCTTTTTTCTCTTGGAAATGGAACAATCACCTTTTCTTTGCCTCAAATTGCAAATTTTTCAATTACTATAATGTGTGCGAGACCGGAGCAAGGACAGGTGAAGGTGCATTTTGCAACCCTCCCCATCCACCGTCCATTCGGCACCCCACACACACCATCCTCCCGCCACACCTGCCATTGTGACAAGAGGACATTGTGGCAGGAGAGGGGTATCTGGGCAGTGTGAAAGAAGGGGGGCAGTCTGACAGGAGGGGGGCAGTGTGACAAGTGGGGGGCAATGTGACAAGTGAAGGGCAGTGGGACAGGAGGGGGACAGCAGGACAGGAGAGAGCAGTGTCAAACACATCTTGGAAATGACAAATCCCCCCAGATTTCACCTATCCTGCAGATGGTGTCAGTGCTGAGGATATGGTGCCAGGAGGGGTAGCTGTGTCCCAGGCAGGCAGGAGAGGATCTGCGGCAGCAGCTTCTGCAAAGAGAGAGGCTCCTCCACCCTGACCTCTTCCTCTTCTTTCTTCACCTCCATGGGGCCCTCCACTGGCACCCCCTGGCTTGACCCACTCTGCACAGCTGGGCGTATGCACACAATTCCTTACCAAAGCATGTCTGACAGTGGGCCCTAGCTGCTCCCTGCACACAACTGGGATCCACCCACAGCTCTACCCTCCTCTGTATCCTGGCACATATGCTCTGACAGCGGGACATGCAGACTAACCTGCCTGCCTACTGCACTCTTTCTGCTCTGACAACAGCCCAGTAAACATCAGGCAAACTAAAACTTCCATGCTATTCCCCCTCTCCTACCAGGAACAGAGTGGAAGTTTTAGCTTGCCTGCTGGGGGGGGGGACAGAAGACTGATAATATAAAAATCTAAATCTCCAGCAAGTGGCCTTATGCTGGCGCTGGCCCTGAATGTGTGCATAATCTTAATAAATTCATATGTGCATACTTTCCTGTCAGGTATCAGTGAACATTTCATACCTATGTTTATACCCATGACATATGTTTTTAGTAAATACAATTAAGGTATTGCTGTTGCTTTGCCCAAGGTAGCAGTAGGCAGATGGCCAGTAAGCAAGATCATTCACGAGGTCATAGCCTTTGTCACAGAAAAGGGAAGGTTCCAGCTGGTACAAAAATTCTGCATGAAATGTGCCAAGTCACTCATTGCTTTCCTTAATCAGGAGTCAGTCTGGCCTCTGTGAACATCAAAGGTGTCTTTTTTTCCCATCTTCCTGGCACATCAACATTCCTTGACTTTTGAGGGTGTACGGCATTATCAATTTGTTGCTCTTCTCTTTGGTTTGTCCACTAAACCTCAGGTTTTACCAAGATGCTAGTCCCTATTCTTGCTCTGCTTTGCTCTCGGGGCATTCCCATAGTGGAATATCTAGATGTACTTCCTCTAAGGAACCGGTATAATAGAATAAAAAAATAAACAATAGGGAAAATGTATGTCAATCAATCAATCAATCAATAAATAAATATAGAAAAAATGTATGTGGATCAATAATTGTAAAAACCACCAATAAATAAAAGTGCATAAATATACATAAAAGCAAATGTGCCAAAATTCATAAAGTTAGCTCATCAAATAAAAGTCAGCCACATAACTGAAATTGTCTCTGCATAAATCAGAAAAAAGTCCAATACTCAATAACATAAAATGTTCCACCAGCAGGAAAAGTGAAGGATGAAGAATGTGCAACAGAATTGTCTTCAGTACTTCACCACTGTGCATCAACTACTAGATAGCCAATCAGCTGCTTAACAGAAAGTTAGAACTCATAAGCTGGGAGGTCTAACAGTGCTTGTGGGAGAAGCCCAAATTGATGGATGGATTAAAACCGGCCTCTCATCAACCTGCTCAGCTCCAGTTAAATCGCGCTGAAGGCAACCAGGTAGCCAAACAATAACACATGCCAATTAAAAAAAGGAAGGAGAATCACTCATAGTGCAGTAACATAGACCATCTTTTCTTAAAAACAGTTAGCTACTCACATATATAAAGCAATGTACAGTGTTTCACAAGCCTTCATCAATCACCTCGGCTGGTGTGATAACATCACTGCTATAACTCTTCCTTACACCCTCATAGGTGGGGAATACTGGATGTGGACCGCCTGATTTTCAGGTTTAACACCAACCTGAACAGCTTTGTCTTCACTTTCAGAGATCCTCTAGCCGTTGCAGTGGATGATCTGATGACTTTATGGAATTAGTTCAAGTTCCTTCTCTAAAAGTCTTTCTTCTGAAGGATTGAGATGAGGGCCTTCCTGTGACTCTCATCGCACATAACTGGCCCAGGTGGACATAGTACTTGGACTTTGTCAGACTCCTGGAAAACTCTATATGGGCCCTTCGTCCAGATCCTGACTTTTATGGCCTGGCTGTTAAAGCCTAGGTCCTGAAGGATAAAGTACTGTCTGATTCAATTATCCCTACATTTTTTAAATCTTGGAAGTCTTGAAAAGCCCTCCCTTGCACCTGGAAATGATATTTCTCATTGGAATGTCTATGCCTTGCAAGACTACTGTCTTTTCCCTGGTCTCATCTGAATTGACAGTCGACCTTGAGTACCATCTATGGTCAAATCTTGGCTCTAGCAATACTTTTTAAAAGGCTGCTTGCCTCTTATTTCCTAATGAAATCCTTTGTAAGGGATGTTGCTGAGCGAGTTTCTGAAAGGGCAGCCTTATTCTCTAAATAACCCTATCTTGTTATACACAGACACAAGAATGTCTTGATTATTATATTATTATTATACAGGATTTATATAGCACCAACAGTTTCTGCAGCGCCTTACACAATGAAGGTAGATATTATGGTTATAATACAATTTGGTACAAGAGGAAACAGATTGCCCTGCTCATTAGAGCTTACAATCTAGGAGGAAAGGTTGAGTGATACAAAGGTAATAGCTGTGGGGGATGAGCTGATGGAGGAAATAAAGGCAGTTTACTAGTTAGAAGCAGGATAGGCTTCTTGATGCCCAAGACCTTTTTACTTTCCAAGGTTATTTCTTCCTTTCACCTTAAACAGGGCATTGTTCTACCATTTCTGTCATTCTTCACAACATCCCAAGCAGTTTTTCCTCCACTGTCTGAATGTGGCATGTGCTGTTTATCTTTTTAAGCTTTTTTTCAGCCAGACTGACTTCTTTTGTCATTGCTGGAGTCCTTATAGGAGACAACCTGCTTCTTATTCCACTGTCTCCAGGTGAATTCAGCCCCACTGGTTAGAATATTCTCACTTCCTCCCACATTGGCCACACAGGATATACAATAGATTACAATACTTTGCCCATAGTGACAGTATCCCATGAATGGTGCTAAGGTACTGAATGCTGTATCATGCTGATAAGTAGGCTATTGAAAGTTGTATGAATGTTCAAGCTGAATCTGTTACTTTGTGAAGTGTGCCCTTTTAAATCCTTGTTATCTAGCAGTCACTAAAATATCAGTCATTACTGTCCAGGGGTTCAAAGGAAAAAAAATTAGAAATGAGCTTCCTCATTGGCTGAAAATTTTAAACAAAAATCTTGCCCGACACTCCCCTCTGCCTCCCCTTTTTTACTCCTGTCCCTGGAGCACACCCCTGCCCACTTGTAAACTTTGCAACATTTTAGTGTACATACCTTTTTTCCTGGGTCCTATATCTAGTCACATGCAGTCACAGGTTCAATACT